GCTTCTAATTGAATTTTTATTGTGTTGTCTCAGCACCAATGTTTCTGTTTAGTGTTTTCAGTTGGAAATGGCTACTGGAGTAGTGAAAAATCACAATTATTGATATTTAAAGGCTATCATCAGTCATATCTTAAAATTTAATTTGTGTGATATAAGTTGTAATGAAATCAGTAAATTGTTAGAAGGAAATGAACGATTACTAAAACAAATACATTCACTGGAAAAATATGATTTAAAAAAATAATTTTCTGTTTTGTTTAGCATTGTATTAAATAAGTAATATGTAGGTGCTTTTGAAGGTAGCATTTGCAATAATGTTTGTAAGACTGTTTTGTAAGGTAATAAATGATTTTTTTTACTTTACTCTTTTTAATTTTAAATACAGTTGATTCCATTTAATTGGGGCAGCTGCTTTATTGGGCCAAATCTCAAAGAACAGAAACCAAACTAATAAATTAATACATAATTTAAATGCTTAATTGGGATAGTAGCAGAAAGGGAATTTAACAATTTTTGATATATTTTAGGGTTCTTCAAAAAATGTCAACACTACATACACTAATGTCGTGTAGGTCTAACAATTGGCGGAGACAAATTTTGTCTTTTGCTCAGACAGTTCAGTTTTTCAAGAAGGGTCAGCATAGCAAGAAGTAACACATCAGGATCCCATTTGAGGCAGACCTGAATGAGAGCTACTGACTGCTCTGGATTGGACCGGATGGTAGCCTTAGAAGTAAAGGGACAAAGACCGCCCAGACAATTTTTTGGTCACTTGACCAAGTTAGAAGACACAGAGTTATCTTGGAAGGTGTTGTGTGCATGAATATATTTAGATCTGGACAGCAGCCATTCGATCATTGGGACCAGCATTTGGAGATGGCGTATTCTATGGATTCTCCCACCAAAGTGGCCCATCTTCAGGTAAAAGAAACTCTACTCAAAGAAAGGCCTTAAGGTGACTTTTGGACAAACCCAGGCATGTTTTAACTAAAAAGGGAGAAAGGAAAGATCATTCAATCAGGAATGGATCAAACGGTCAATCCTTGTGTATTGCTATGACACTGCTAATATTTGGCAACACTAGCTTGATGTGAATCAGTTATCTATCGTCATGAGTCTGGCAAATTTATAATAAAATAGTTTATGTATTTTGGTTTAATAAAGCATTAAAATAGGTACCTAATTATTATTTTTTTACCTACTTACTCATTTACCTACGTATTACATATTTTATTTTAGAATTTATTATTAGTTTGTTTAATTGGGGCAGCCACTTATTTGGGTCAAAATGGATTAATCCCAATGTGTCCCAATTAAGTGGAATTGACTGTAGTTTGTCACCTTACTTATATGCACTCAAAATGTGCTTGTAGTGTAAACCCAAGAAGACTTATTTATTTATTTAGTTTTGCATCTTGACGAAAAGCTTATTATTTGATATTATTTATTTTTATTAATAAATAATTAATAAGAATTTTGTGTCTGTGTGTGAGAATATATTTATTGTAAGTGAAAAGTATAAATTCCTCTATTTTGCTATTTTCTTACATAATTTGACTATTTGAAAATTTTGTGCTAGATTTGTAGCATTGTTCTGGCAAATGAGTATTGCTTGTATATATATGTGAAAAAAATGGCACAAATTGAGTTGAGGAGTTTGGCCAATGTAAGCAAACAGCAAAATCATAGGATACTGTAATAGTAAATTATAAGCTTACTGTATTAGAAAATAATAGAGATTCATGACAATCAGCCAACTATCATTTTTAGTTACCCGAATAATTATTACTAGTCTAACCATTGTAATGTTCATAAACACCAGCTAATATTTGAATTTTGGACAAACTATATACAATTGGTTGAATTGGGAAATAGATGGTATTTGTTTGACTGACTATTATTGCATTATGGTCTAACTCAGCATTTTTCAAACTTTTTGCTCACACAACCAAATACATTTGTTTGCAATGGTTCTGCAACCCAAATGTTTATAATATACAATTTTTAAAAAACCTGGTAAACTGGAGTCACTGTATATTATATAACAAAATAAAATTATGCAGACTTCTACCTGTGAAATGTAACATTGAAAACATTTCTATTAAGAGTGGTTCAGACTAATTTCAGTTTGTAGCAAATAACTTACTTCAATTTCAGTTTTTATTTGTTACAAATTGAAATTGGATCTGCTAAAAGGAGGTAAAATTACATTGATTTTGATGAAACCTGGAAAATAATTTGTTGCTCTGAGAAATTTATTGTTTCACAATCTGTTAAAATGAGATTCTGCCGTATACAGTATATGTAACAAAAACAAGTCTACCTATGTTAGAAACAAATAAGCTTGGATATGTTTGGGGACCAGCAGACATGTAAATAATAGACTGCTATATTTCATTCATCAGTAGAAGTGAATGGTCCATTTGAAGCTTTTTCTTTTTGCATCTACTTGACATGTAAACAAAACCAAGACACTTTATTATTACATTTTATCATGTTAACAAGAGTTCCTTACATAACAAAAAAAGTGAAATGATTTTATGATTATTTTTTTGATATGGAAAAATTATTAGGGATTATGTTTGATGACCTATAATATTCATCATTGAAATTAAAATTGTTTTTAATACATAATCTGTGGATCATAGGCAGGAAATTATGGTAAACTTTTATAAACTTGATAAGACAAATGTACTGATGCCTGAGTGTACTTCAATTTAAAATAACTTTTGGCACCTACCACAGAGTATGTAAAAGTTTCTGGCCTAACTATGTTTTAGATGTTATACCTATAAAACAATGATGTCATTTTTCAATATAGTCTCCTTGCAGTTCAACAAACTTATTACATCTTGGAATTAGCATTTCAATATCCTTGAAAAAATAGTTTGCAGTTTTGTTTACAAAATGCTCATAAACTGCCTCCTGCAACTCTTCATCACTTTTTTGAAGGTCTTTTTTGAGTTTTGGAAACAGATAATAATTACTATGAGGTCAGATCTGCACTGTAGTGTAGGGTGTATGGTCATGCTCCTTAAACTCACATTCTTTCACAGCAGCCTTGACAATGGCAGCTGTGTGCACTGGCAAATTGTCCTATAAGAGGCAAACGTGATGCAAATTAATGCAATAAGTCTAACTAAAATGAGTGTTTCCAAGCAACTTATGCAAATTGACAGGAAAAACTGTTTTATTAATCCACATAAAAATGGTCTATCTGATATCATTATTTTATTTCTATTATGTCTAAAATATAGTTAGACCTGTTTTCAGCTGTAACTAATCTGTAGAATTAATACTTAAATTATAAATAAAATATTTTGAAAAAGTTTAAATGTGAAGATGAAAATTGGAAAATTTTGAAAACTGAATTTTTAATTGTTTATTAAAACTAAAGTTTCAACATAAGTAACGATACTTTTGTTTAGAAAATGTTTATAAAATTCAAAAATATTATATAGGAAGAGTAGTTTGGATTGCAATTAGGGAATTCGATCCCGGTCCTTATTTCTAATCCCGGGATTTCGGGATTATACTTATTCGATCCCGGGATTATTTCGGTATTGAGGGTTAATAAAAAATAAGAAAATCTTACAGAAATTAAAAATCAAAATTTAGACAAAAATCAACGTATTTTACGATATACACCTAGTTAATTTAATCACTCTAATTAATCAGACTTACAGTCAGACTAACCAGACTTAAAATCACTGTCTTCATGTTAAATTTATTCTTTTTTAAGCATCACTGAGATCTCTTTAAACTCACATAAATTGAAAAAACCTTTATGTAACAAACTATGCAAATAAACGTTGAAAATTCACAAAAATCTCTCTTAACATCGACTAAATAGACTACTTTCATATAACAACCTAGTAAGTAGGTAGTAAAGTAAGTTTCTTAGCAAAAAGTATTTAAAAATAATATTAATCAGTCACATTTTTCTTAAATATAAAGAAAACTAATTTAATAGGAACATTCTAATTTGAATTGCGAAAATATGATCTGAGAAATAACAACGCATCTAGTGTCTCATCACCAAGTCTGCTTCTCAATTTGTTGCACATATATGCAGCTGCAGAGAAAACGCGTTTAGGTTGATGGAAGTTGGAGGAATCGTTAGTAAATACTTATAAGCTTCGAGGACACGGGGAGGATGGAAGAAAACAGTCCGGTCGACACGGATCGGGATTGTAGGAGTAAAGGCTATAATCCCGATTGTTTCGATCATTGTAAGCATGTTTTTCAAAAAATAAACGCGTTAATTTTGTAAATTCGGTCTCTGTGTGAGTCTCTCAGCGTTCAGCAAACCACTACCCCGAAACGTAAAAAGACTTTCTCGCATCATCCTGACAGATCGCGGACAAGGCGAGGGTCGTAACCTTTTCACCTAAGGTCGACCCCCCTAAGCGAGAGGCGTCGGGTCTATATTAACCACACTGGCAAAACAAGATGGCTGACACATTGACAGGTAAAACGCACTGAGTAGTGCTCTCGACTGCGCCAGAAAATCGATTGGCGCCCGCGAAAATTCAAAAATACAAAAATGAAGTATATTACCAAGTAACCCAGTGAGAACTGCTTGCCTATCATTTTAGTTGAAAATACAAGAAGTTTTATTCCAAGCAAGCATCGCAAGCCCGCTTGGTTAATTTCTGCTGCTTGCTTGGAATAAAATTTCTTGTATTTTATATTAAAATGATAGGCAAGCAATTCTGTTAAAAGCACTGGCACTGAACGTTTCGCTTCATGCAGTCTATTTTGCAATTTTTTTAAAATGATGTCAATCCCGAAAATCCCGGGATTAGGAAAACTTAATCCCGAAAATTTTGGGACTGAAAAGTGGTCGGGATCCCGGGATCCCGATTTTCGAGATCCCGGGATCAAATCCTCTAATTGCAATTTATTACTCTGTTTAAATTCAATCAAGAAAGACACAAATATTTAATTATAAGTATACTTAACTTATTATTTTATAATTATGATTATTGTGTTTTTAGCAAAATGCAGCCATATCAACAGTTTCTACAGTTCCATCTGTTACTGCAGCAACAGCAGCAGCGTCATCGTCATTGTTTCCACCGACTCCAGGACCTCCTATGACACCAATGACTCCCATAACTCCATCTTCAGCAGATCCTGGTATAGTTCCACAACTTCAGTAAGTGATTTTTTAAAGTAATAGTTTTTAAAATTATTTTGTGATGAATAAACAAAAAATAAACCAAAGATTTGAATTATTTTTTACAAATACATTCAATTGCTCAATGTAATGTAGTAGTAAAATTTTCTTCATGCCATACACTTTTAATTAATGAATATTGTAAACCTTTGAAAAAAATTAAAATCTTAACTTCAAAATGCTTATATGAGAATAAAGAGGAGTTCTGTGGAAAATAGAGAAAAATAAATTTTATTTTATTGATAGAAAGATTGTCTAAGAAACTAGATTTCTAAAAAAAAGTTTATTTTCAGGAGCCCTATTATTTATTAGAAGTCAATGTTTCATTTTCAGATCTGAATCAAACAGAATAGAATACAACATACCAATGAAGAATAATTAGAATGTATTTTTCTTTAAAAATTTGCAAAAAAATACTGAAATTATATAAAAACATAATCAACAACAACATTAATTAAAAATTTTTAAATAACATTAAAAACAAGTAATAAATAGGTTAAAAAATTAACAGTTTAATGTTGTCAACCTGAAACAAGGTGCTAAGTCTGGGTGTTTTTTTGTTTTTTTTTTCATTTAGGATACGTGCCAATAGTTAGTTATTCTATTATCTGGATTAAAGAATTTTGTCATCTATTATCACATATCACCTTTTCATATTTCAATATGATTTTGACAGTGGTTATCTAACTTTGTACTTTATATTCATTATTATTAAGAATAAATGTAATTGAAATAAACAGTTACACATTCTAGTATCATGGGAAAAAGTGGAATCATTCCCATCTAGATAGTAAAAGAATTGACCACTATTATGTGTACCAAACACATTGTAAACTATATGTGTATAATTTGATTTTTTTTCTGTAGATGTTGCAAACTTGTGTGTTGTTTAAATTACTGTTAATCACTAAATTTCTCAAATATAGTGGCATGGCACATGTTTAATGCAAAATTTCATAATTTAATTAACATGAAAGGAAGGGTTAAAATTTCAATTTATAGAATTCTCTCCAATTGGACTGAAATCATGACTTTGAAAAAAATGAAGATAGTTATTTTGGCAAGGAGCAAGATTTGTTATTTTACATTTTTAGAAATTTCTAGAAAAGAAAATAGCAAATTGTATGTAAAAAAAATAGTATTGTGATGATTTGAGAAAGAATTTTTCTCAGTTTTCACCCTTCTTTCTCTCTGTTTGGAAAAATTACAATGAGATCACGGAGGCTGGAAAAATTACAATATGGTTGTAAGATATTGTTGTAAAAATAAAAACAAAAATTAATTTCTGTCTTAAGAAAATCTTATGAAACTCTTGTTTCCTGTTAGAAATTTCTTGTATTTTTTTTTTTTTAACCACAAAAATGACTATAATTCCTGTAATTCATCTAAATAAAGAATATATGTAAATCATATGGTAGTTCTGAGGTAATATGTAAAATTTCTGAACATAAAACAAGATGCAAATTAAAAATGCAATCTTCACAAATCACTTGATGACACATTACAATGTCCTTGTAATAGAGTAATAGAGCCAACATTATGCAGTATGTTAATTGGTAGAGCACAGCAACAATGCCTTATGCTCATGAACTTATTGTACTTTATGGGGTAATAAGGCAAAATGCATGAGAAGCAACACAGAATTCATGAGAATTTTTTAGCTGCAATGACTTGCATGTATGGTAATTCTGAATGTAATACATCACTTGATGCAAGCCTGTATATGATACGGGTTTGCATCAAATGGTGTATTACATTCAGAATCAAATATGCAACACGTTCAATTTATCTTATATATATATATATATATATATAAGACTAGCAGATGAGCCCAGCATTGCTCGGGGGAAAAATAACAGCAAAGAATAAGATTATTAGATTTTGTACTTCTAACCATTCTACCAGTATTATATTATACTAGAAATTTCCCCATCAAGCATAATGAAATATTTTTTATGAGAAAGTACAGATTGAAGAAATGAAAAGAGCTTCAAGTTGAGCTTGATGTTGTGATGCGGTTTCTGCAACTCTTGACAAAGCCATTCTTACTCGATGTTGCTCAAATCAGACTTCACAGCCTTCAGGGGTTTCAGTTATTCTTATTCTTTTAGATCTATAGTTTACCTGAACTATTTTACTCTTACTTTTTTCTTTTTTGACAAAATAGCGAGTCTTTTTAATTCACCATTGATAAAACAAAGATGAATTTTATGTATGGTATGTTAATTAGATGTGTGATAACACTCTAAATAACGGGCTCGTTAGATCATCACTTTGGATTGGATAATAGAATATCACATGGACTGTGGAAAGATTATAAAAAATGTTATAGAAATGATATGATAGACTCTTTTTTAAGGCTTAAATTTTAAATTTAATGAAGTATGTTTAAAATACGCCATTTGACAAAATATTTTAAAATGCAAGTTAAGGGAAATTCTTTCAAGCATGAACCTCATGGTCACGGACATCACTGCAACATAAGTGCTATCATCAATTTGAAATCAATAAAATGTTTATTCTATAGTTAATATTTCCACAAAATAAGTAACCTATAGTTTCCATTGGAACATAAAACAAATATAACCAAAATATTATCTGAATTGGACAAACATAGAACACAAAACCAACACCAGAACTATGAGAAGAAAAAATTTACTAATGTTTTTGTCTATATAAAAATAGACATCATCAGGTAAAAACGATATAGATCATAGTGCTGGTGTTGGTTATGTGTTCTATGTTTATATAATAATCCCAGTTTTGGAGATATACTGAATTTGATGAAGATTACAGGAGTTAAAAGGAATTCACACATGCACACACATGACAGCTTTTATATTAGTAATTATAATATTTGATTTATATTTACAAAGGTTACCTTACGTAAGAGTTATCACAGAAACTACCCAATCAAAAACATTTTAAAAATGGTTTAAATTGTGTACAGTAGAGGAGTAAAGAATTTTTAAAATGTGTTTGATTGATCACTCAGTGTGATAAACCCTTACTTGAGATAACCTTTGTAGTCATAAATCAAGTACTATAATATAACAAGCATTAAAACAACAACCATATAAAGAGTTTGGTTATTTCAGCCTACTATCGTCATGTTTATCACGATACTTGGAATAGCATAATTTCATTGGTCGAGTAGAAACCAATTGAAATATGATATTTGAAATATTTTAAGATATCATATTTTTTCCTAATGTTAATTCTAAGAAATGTACCATTCACAGCCAAATATCAAATGGTAATCTGCCACTAATTAATACTGGTCTACTATTTAATATTTGAAAAGTGATCCGTGTTAGACAGGTTGTGATGGTCCTGCATGGGATTGAAGTTGCAACCTTAACGTTTGAAATACTTCATATAAAAATTGTTTAAATAAAAAAACTCTTGTAAAAATGCTAAAATAATTTGTTTTATGTGATGATAAAGTGTTTATATTTTTACAACACATTGTATAAACAACATGGGAGTATGTTCTTGTAAATATCATGTTTATAGAATAGTTATTGGGCTGCAATTTGAAAAAATTGTAGATCTATTAATTCTGCCTGTCATCCTTCTGTCTGTGTCCTTCCTTAATCTTGAGAAAGAAATTAAATAGATGAAAGTCAAGACCAGATATGGAAAGCAGGGCTGGTCTCAACTTTCATCTAACTCCTTTCTCGAGATTAAGGAAAGACAACTTCCAGTTTTGAATGGAAGTAGCATGCTTTGGTTCATAATTTTCCCCTGAACTGAGTTAGATAAATGACTGACATGACATGATTTCTAACAGGAAAAGTATGATGTACAGGGAACAAGACCACCACTAAAAGAATTGAAAACATTGTAATTAAAAGTTAATTAAAAGTCAGGCATTGTGATGATGTCACAATAAATAATCACTTGTTACAATTAGTTTGGCTTATTTGGTAATGGCAACGTGACGCGTGAACAATCTGCTAAGGTGAATGCATCCAGAGAAGATTTTTATGGAAAGCAGAACCCTATTTAGGTGTTACTAATGTGAAGGAAACCTGGAAAACTCCATGTGGCCAGCCCATTGGCTGTGCCCAAATCCATGACTAACTATCAGAGTTTGAAAGTTTTATGCACTTGGCTACTGGAGGGTGCTTATTAGAATTAAGAAAGTACCATTCAGAAATGAAAAACCCTCAAGTTGTTAGATGTGGAAAATTAAATACTTATAGACTTTTCACAGGGTAACACTTTTGGTTCCACACAGGCTATATGCTATCTTTCACAGTAATGATATAGCATGTCTGTTTTATGCTATATCATTGTCACAGTAATTAAGTGGATAAAATATATATTTTTTAAAATTACATCCTTTTTTATGAGAATTATATTTAGTTTATATTTTATCATTTTTGCCAATAGATGGCATTCCTTGTAAATCAACAAATTAAATGTAGATAGGAATTAATTGATTTACAGAAATTCAATTGATATTTTGGGGTGGAATGTACAATATTAAATGAATAAATATAACTGCTAAGTTTCTAGCAATTGGTGTAACAGCCTATGAGTGTATAGCAAACAAACAAACATTCTCATTTATATATGTAGATAAATTGAATATTATAAATTGATGACAATGATTTTGTAAATGAATAAATATTGTAATGAGAAAATTTATTAGAATAACATATTCATTTCAGAAATATTGTATCAACTGTGAATCTCGGTTGTAAACTTGATTTGAAAAAGATTGCTCTTCATGCTAGAAATGCAGAATATAATCCAAAACGGTTTGCTGCAGTTATTATGAGAATAAGAGAACCTCGAACTACAGCACTCATATTTAGTTCAGGAAAAATGGTGTGCACTGGTGCCAAAAGGTGAGTTTTATACAATATAATTTGATTTAAAGAAAGGATTTTGTTGTTATTTTTTTTTTAATAAACTAAAGCAGTTTTTAGTTCCAAAGAATTTTTCATATTAGTAAATGTTTAATAGGAATAACAATAGCAATAATAATAAGTTTTTACCAGTTTTTAAATGATGGCTTGTGGAAATTGGCAAAGATAACCTCAAAAAATGAAAATAAATTTTAAAAAATTTTGAAATGGAAAATTATAGTTAAAAGAAAGTCCAAATGGGGCAATTTCCATTCATCCCGGGGAATACCCAAACCATATACCAAATTAAAGCTTACGATAAGACAAACATGGAAATGGTACCAGTTTTAAGCTGAGGAGAGGGAACGGGTCAAAAATTGCACTTGTATACCCCATCTTGGATCACTTAATTTTTGTACTGAAGTTGTAAAAATATATAATAATTGATAGATGATGACATTGTAAGTAACAAGTATCACTTTTCATATAGGTTTTATTCAGTTTTATTTTCATTAATGTAAAATGTTTTGTAACAGCAATATAAATTGTAATTAGCAGTGTGCAGTTTTGTATGCAAAACCTGAATTTCATTCTGCTGTAAGCTGTAATGAGTGTATGGATTTATTAGAAGTAGTATGCATAACAGTAAGTACCATAAAAATGCACTTTTAACTTTTGGTGACAGGTGAATTTTTAATTTGTTCCTTCTACTTCAAATTGAAACTATTGCCATTGTGTTTCTCTTGTCATAGGCTTTAGTTTGATATATGATTTGAATTTTCTCCAGGGTGACTGGAAATTGTCTCAAACTTACATTCTCCTTTGTGATTTCCCCCCTCATTACATAGATAAAAAAAATTTATCAGTATAAAATAAGAGTGAAAATTAAATGAAAATAACTTATAAAAGGCAAATTTTTTAAAGTTATTTCTAACTTAAAAAATGCATCAATGTTTCTTTGAAATTATTACAGTCGATCCCTTTAAACTGCTCTTCCATGTACTGCCACCCTGAAAAACGATTTGTTCCATAGTAAATCAGTAGTATAAACTGCCATCTTGTTTTCTGCCATCAACCAATTATGATTCAAAATAAAATTGTCATTGTCCATACAAAATATTTCAGATAAACCACCACATTTTTTATTGTCCCAAAAATTTTTATTGTAAAATATTCTGGGAACGGGACTTCTCAGCGATTTTAAAATTTGAGAAAGAAGTTTCATCACAAGTAACAGTTTTTTCTTATCCAATTGACGGTTAGGAGTGAGTGTTATGACAGTTAAGATCTATGCAAATAACAAGTTAGAGAGAGCTGGACATACATTCTGTCAGTTGAGTCTGAAACTTGAGATCTTTTGTGCTTTGAATTCTTGCTGTAGAGTACATATTTTACTTACACTCTGATTGTTTTAGTTTTCTTCTTCATTGCATATATGACTATCTTTACAATCAACAAAAAGCAAGAAATCTGTGCATGTAGTGAAACCCATCCCTCCTGTTTTTGAAAATATATTGCCACTCACTTTTCTATTCTTTGGAAGAAAAATGTAAATAGATGGATGGTAGGAGCTATTTTAAACCAAAAAAATAAGGACGAATGCAGAAAATAGAGCCACTAGAAAAATGAAACTGGAAAATATGACAACTTGAAAAAGATTTAATATGGATTGTGCAAGTGAATGCAAAGAATGGCACTATTACAGATGATGTGATAAGAAAGCAAGCAGAAATATTTGGGCAACATATGAATATAACAATTTTAGTTACAGCAATGGGTGGCTACATCAGTGTAAACAATGCCATGGCTTTCACAGTAAAAGAAACATGGTGGAACTGCTGAAGTTGATTTGGATGTTGCAGAAGAGAGAACAAGTCTGTCAATAATAATAGAGTGGTATGATATGAAAGATGTGTACAACGTAAATGAAACCACTTTATTTTACTAACAGCAACCTGACAAAAACATTGCTCATGCCATGTGAAAGGCTACAAGAAGAATAAAGATAGAATCACAATTGCCTTTTGTTGTAATTCAGACAGACCTTTTGACAAGAGAACTGTGACTGTCATTGAAAGATTCACAAAGCATCATTGTTATAAAAATTTTGATCCTTCTATTTATTACCACTACAAGCACAACAAGGGATGGATGACAGCCCTACTTTTCCAAGAATTTGTTGAAGATTTTTAGTAGCAATATGAAGAGAGAAAACTCTGTCATAATATAGTCAATCTGAGCAATGTGGAAATACAATTCTTTCCAGCAAATTGCATGGGAATTCTGCAAACATGTAATGCTGGCACAATAAAAAGTTTTAAAAATTATGTTTAGAACATAACTTTTTAAACTTTAAAGAATACTATTTAAAAAATGTTTGAGTCCAATGATGGCTACAAAGATATTGAAAACATTAGATGAATAAAAAATAATTGCTGGAATAGGTTGTTTATCTAAGTATTTACAATAAAAAGTTTTAAATTAACTACAGATGCCACCAAGTACAGAAAATTATCAAATGCATTAATGATGAAATTTCTATTGAGATGTCCCTGAAATCTGCACTGCTGTTAATTAAAAAATCATGGGATGAAGTGACATATAGAATAATAAAAAATTGCTGACTGCACACTGGCCTATTCAGGAGAAGGCACAAATTGATGAGGATTATAACAACAGTGTTCAAATGTTAAGTAGTGATGTTAGCTATCTTTCAAGTATCACTTTTACATTTCAACTTGTTGCTGTAGAATTGATTGAAATCAACTGTAATGAGGATAATTTGCAGAGTTAATCTCAGAACAAATAGTTAATTTTGTGAGAAAAGAAGATAGTAACTGCAGGAAGAAAATGAAGACCATGACAGTGATGACATAGTAAATCTTCTAGTAACTGCAAAAGAAGCTCAGTCTTGTTTAGAGAAAATTTGACATTTTCTGGAGGTAAGTGCATCCAATAAGGATTATCTGATGCATGTTGACTCATTGGATACATTTATCTACATGACTTGAGGAAATAATGTAGTTTGAACTACTTTGGACAGGTTTTTTTTATATGTGAAAAACAATAAATATAATATAAATGAAGGAAAAGTGATAGTTATTCTTATTATCCTGATGTTCTTATTTGCATGCCATTTTTGAGAAACTTGCCACTCTCACCTTTCCACCATGGCTTGAAAACCAATGGTGGAAGTTTAAAGGAGATTGACTGTAATTACTTTTTTTTTTACTTATTATAAATTAAAAAACAATTATTGTATCAAGAAATTTGAAAACAAAGCAATTGTAAAATAGTAAGAAGTAATTTATGCAGTAAAAGATAATTTTTAGGTTGAAAGGAGATGAGGAGGAAATTTGTCATTCTCTTAAATCTTAAACAAGAAAAATCACACACTTTTACTTGCTATTTCCATTGATATTTAATAGATAAATAGAAGAAAATAAATGTTTTTGGTCATTTTATTGGCCCTTCTCAGGTTACAAAAACTTTTTTACGCCTTTAAATAAGCTTGTACATTTGATAAAAGAATTTTTAATGAAATTCTAAAACAATTTGAATGAACGTAAACATTCGAAATATGGAGCTAACTTTTCATTTGCCCTTTTCCTTCTCTTTGGAAAAATTACAATATGGTTGTAGGATATTGCTGTAAAAATTTAAAAAAATTCATTTCTCTGTTAAGAAAATCTTATGAAACTCTTGTTTCCTGTTAGAAATTTCCTGTATTATTTCCTTATTTTATTTTTTACACCACAAAATTGAATATGACCCCTGTAATTCATTCAAAAAAAGAATCATATAGTAGTTCTGAGGTAAAATGTAAATTTTCTGAACAGAACAAGATACAAATTAAAAATGCAATCTTCACAAATCATTTGATCCACTTTAATAATGTTAAAGATAGCTTCAAAATTATTAATTGTAGAAAAGCAAACAATAGAATAGACTTTGGATAGTCTTTTTTTAAAAGTTAAAACTATATTAAGAAACTCTAACATAAAATGACTCATTTACAATTTTCACAAAGAAAAAAACATCTGCTTAAAGCTATTTAATTTTAAAATAGTCATATTTTTATTAGTTTGATTGATTTAATAATAATAATTATTATTATAATTATAATTATTTATTGGACTGCAATTTGAAAAATGTAGCTGATATCATAATTATGTTTAGCCACTCTCTTTTGCAGAGAACATGTTGTGGAGCCTATGTAATTCAAGGAGTACATAGTCTCCACATATGCTGTTGGCATAATTATATACATAATTATGATATCAGCCACAACAAGCTTGCCACCACCTTGGCTAGTTATGCCTCAGATAGCAACATCCACTGATCTACAGAACACTCCCATCATTAAGAGAGCCAAATGATCATAAAACATTAGGGCCTTGGAATTGCTGGAAATATATAAAGCTGAAAAACAAGGGAGAAGCATTAATTTCAAGGATGAAAAACACTTGTCCTACACATGGCAGACATTACTTTAAACCACATCTGGCCCTTTAATAACATCAAAATTAAAATTTTTTAAATTTAACAGTTAGAAATGGGTTTAATATCTTTTGTTCTGTTTTATAACAATGACATCATCCAGCAAATTTAACCTGAAAATGCATTTGATTAACAAAGTGTTTTTGAAACGCAAAGGCATTTGATTAACAGAACATCTTTAAAATACAATATTTATGTTTGACCTGAAGATCCAGCTGAAGGATGAAAATGTTAGTCGTCATCAAAATAATAAGCTACTGCAGAATTCTTTAGAAGGTACTACAAAGAAGGTTTGGTGCAATATAGTACTTAACTATTCACTGAGAAAAATAAAAAGCAAGAATAAAAAAATACTTTTGATACTTTAAAAGTTTTTAAAAAATAAGTGAGTGTTTTTAGGTACTTTGTGGAATATAGTGTTATAAGTGATGAACAAATAACTGGAATCATGATTAATTTGTAACTCTCAATACCATCCCTGGACTTCCAGCAAACACATTTATTAACCTGTCCTGCATTGTTCCCAAAGATTTTCATGTTGACCTCGTTGACCTGCGTGGGCAATCCGGAATATTTTCATGTTTGCATCGTAACATTTTTGATACTAGATGTCACTATGCATCACAATTTTTATATTAAAACAAACTTTTAAAATATAATTTTTTTTTTTTTGTTTTTATATTTTTCAATATATTTATTATGTTTGTGCAACATAAAAAAGTAATTTTTAACGACACAGTAAACATGATTATTTAAAAAAAATTTTTTTTTTGGTTAGACTTAACATCAATGAAAATTCAGCATGGTGTCACAGGCAACAGAAAAAAATTTCAACATTGAATAGGTTAATATAACAAACATTATTGGCATATTTCTTAAGCCTTCATAAGGCTACACACACTAGCTTTAATTTGATAACGTTCAAAATAGAATGTTATTTGGTAAGTGGTATTATTTAATTTTTAAGATATAGAATGAGTAGCATTCCAATTTCGAACATTATCAAATTGAAGCTAGAGAGAGAAACCTGATGCAGGCTCATAAAATATGCCAAAAACATTTGTTGTTAATATGTTTGTTGAAAGTGCAGTGATGATGCCAAGAGATAAAAGAATAATGCTGCTTTTGTCCCATCTATGAGAGTTTACTGTTATATTCAGATATAAGAACATGTTTTATGTATGTGCAGAAATACATAATTATGATGTTTTAATTGGTTTTTTATAAAAAATTTTTTGATTTTATAGTGAAGAACAGTCAAGACTGGCTGCAAGAAAGTATGCAAGAATTGTTCAGAAATTAGGATTTGATGTAAGTTTAAATAACTTATCAATTTCTCATTAGAGTAAACTTTACATTAAATGGTTTGTGTGTGTGTGTGTGTGTTATGGACTAAGTGATTAATACGAGCATAATGAATAATGACAAAAAATCATGCACTGTAATAAATTTCAGGTTTTTTTATCATAATTTATCAGATTGACAAGTCACTATGAATACTGTTATCACTTGGTTGGGCAAAGTGATGATAATACTTTGATCATTCAACATGTGTTAGCCAACCAGCACTTGTCGCATGTGTATTGCTTTTATTATTGAATTTTAAATTCATGTGGCCAATAGGTAAACTTGTGCAATATTTTAATTTTACTTTTGTCTCTTAAAATAGTATTTTCTTGTTTGAAAAAATAATGATTATGCAGCCATCATTAAGTGATTTGAATAACCTCTTCAATAACTCATTTAATTAGTCAGTCTTAATTACTTGAATAAATAAACTAAATAAATATTTAATTTTTTATATACTTTATACCAAAAACGACATTTCAGAAATCCTTTAAGTTGATTTTTGATTGAAGTATAAATTTGTTAATATGACTTTTTCTTAACATTAGTTTAATTAATTCAGTTAATAATAATTACAGTAGATCCCCCTATAAAACCGTTTCCTATAGTTATGATTCCTATAAAAATTGTGGCAGTATCCGTAAACATCGGTAAAAATAACTCCTATAATACGTAAAACGTCATCAGGCAGCCGAACTACTTTTCCGCCGTCCGTAGCGCCACGCTACGGACGTTTAGGCGGATAAATTGAGTTTAGTATCGTCTGTTCATATAATTATATATAAATTAGGTACTGTACATATAATTATATATTAATTATATATAAATTAGGTACTGTACATATAATTATATATTAACTTAATTTATTGTAACTTTATTATAATTATATATATACTTTCCGCCGTCCAGCGCCACGCTACAGAGAGTTTAGGCGAGTAAGTTGAGTTTACTATCGTCTGTACAGTATGTAAATTAGGTACCGTAAGTCTAATACAGTACTGTAATTTTATACATTTCTTGTGAAAGAAACATTTCTTATTTAACGGCCATAAAAATTATTTATATTAAGGATGTCTCCAAAGGTCAACGAAGTTTTCGCAGAAAAATAATATCAGAAATCGCGGCCGCGGTTTGATGCGCTGTTCCGCGACGAAACCAAGCTTTAGCAACGGGCGTAGTCGAACGGTACACACTCGGTAAGCAATCCTACAATTTTTTGTTTATAACGTAGTTTATACGGATTATTTTCAAAAAAATATACGTATTTTGGAAATGTTGAGTCGAATTAGTCTAGAATCGATTAATTTTATGAAAGAAAACCTTTCAAACAGCCGTAGTCCGTAAACTATGATTCCTACAAAATTGATTCATAAAGAACGGAACGTATCTACCGTCTTATAGGGGGATCTACTGTATTGTTAAAAAATCACATGTTGTTTTTAAAATACTTTGGAACAATTCACAAAAAATAAATAATTATTAATGAAAAAAGTGGAGATTCTTTTTGAAAATCAAATTGCCCAAAGGAAATGTAGCTTTATTCATAATGTCTGGTTTGAATAATATGCTGGTCTGCAGCTTGATAAATATTGATTAATTTAATAAATTAATCAATATTTATCAAGCTGCATGGTCATTTTAATCATTATTCATAATGGATGGGCATTATAAATAATGCACTATTAATCACTTGGCCCATAACATATATACACACAAATGCAAAAATGAAAAATATGTTTTATTTTTACATTTAGAAAATTTTCTTGAAATTGTTTATATTGTATTAATGTACTTAAAATCAAACTAAATAATAGTTATTACTCAATAATTAAACCCCTGAACTGCAAATAGTAACTCATAATTTATTTTACAAAATCTATAAACACTTACGGTGTTTTTTTAATAAAATAACCATTAATGAATATAACTTAATAAAGTAATTATATAGAATTAGCTTTTACAGTACTGAAATGTTGTATGTTGATTACAAACAATTGAAACAATTTTACATAATTTTTCTGCTGATATTATTATTATGGATATTATATGGCTTGAAATTAAACATTATAATTTTTATGTAAATTAAAAAAAAAAGTTTTTTATATATGTGTAATATATCAGTAAATTTGTTGCATTAAGTTATAATTCCATAATTTTTAAAAAAATTAATGTACAAGGTGCGTTCCATAAGTAATGAGACCAATTTTTTATGACGCAATGATATGCTCTGGGTTCGCATAAGTCTAGGTATTACTGTACTGTAAAAGCTAATTCTATATAATAACTTAAAGTTATTTTCATTAAGATGTTCTTTTAATAAAATAATCATTAAGTGGTTACAAATTTATTTTGTAAAATAAATTATGAGTTACTATTTATAGTTTAGGAGTTTAATTATTGAATAATAATCAGTTTGTAATTATGTATATATATATATATTTCTTAATTTCAGGCCAAGTTTTTAGATTTTAAAATACAGAATATGGTAGGAAGCTGTGATGTTAAGTTTCCAATTAGACTGGAAGGACTTGTTTTAACTCATAGCCAGTTTAGCAGGTAATTTAATTAAAACTTGTATAAAGATAATTAATATCATCAAATTTATATAATCATTTATAAAGATGAAAAATGGCTGTTTTTGAATTTTGTTACTAGTTTGTAAGAACTTCACATATAAAGATTAAAATATTTATTACTGTCAAATACTTTCATTACTTTTAAATTTTATTTTTTTGGTGGTGGTGGTGATAGTAATAGTAGTCAAAATTAGCATAAGAAGTTTATTTGAATAATACATGAACTATTTTAATTGTTTGATGTAAAGTTCTAATAAATAATTGATAATACCTGAAGATAAAGATAAAACTTTGTCAAATTTGAAAAACTTTAATAAAGAAAAGTTGTAAGTTAATAATTTTATAAAACTGTTATTTTTATAAAAATGTATATCAGGTTGATCAAATGGGAAGTTTACTTGCAAGAAGTAAAGAACCTGGCAATACTATGAGCTGGTATTGCCTGACTAACTAGTCACTACACTACATTACACTACACTTAGAAATCATTAACATGATTTCTAAGTGTTGTGTTTGCTTGTTGCTTTTTAAACTGTTTTGCAATAACTGGAAATGCCTTATACTACAGAACAAAGAATTTTCATAGTGAAAAGTTACATAAAGGAGACAAGTTATTGAAAATGAAGATGACAGTTATGTGAAAATATCTTAAATTGTCTGTTTAGAGGTACAGGTAACCCTCATATAACATGGCACTTCTGTATAGCACGGATTCACTCTAACATGGTTCGAGAATTGGGAACATACCCCGTATAACACAGTGCTTTTATATCACGTGTTCACTCTAACATGGTTTAGGAATTGGGTAAAACCCTTGTACAGCATAAAATGTAATAAAGGGTGCGTTCTTTTATACCTCCATGTAACTCTGCGCAAGCATTCTAATTGTTTTCATGGCTACTTTGAATGCTCTTTCAACAAATAATCCATTTAATGGTTAAATTATACAATTGGGACCCTTCTTTTGCCTCTAAAAGCTCATTTTAGAATTATAGATTCCTCCACACAATACTATCGATAGTGCGGGTGCCGCCATCTTTCTTTCACCATCGTTCCTAAATGCCTACAAACGGCAGCGCACTCCCGTTGCAGAGCAAATACTATTAACGAACGCATCCACAAACTGTTACCAGTTGATTATGCTCATGCATGAGATCATCATATAGAATATAATCCTCTGGTAAAATATTTACTTAAATAATAAATAAGTATTTTACCTATGAAAAAAATGAATAATAAATCCGATTTAAATAAGGATTTAACAACATATTTTTTAATTTTTGGAACCTAACCCCCCTTTTTGCACTAGTTCTTTGTTTCGTATAACACGGATTCGCATAACACGGCAATTTTTTGGAACATAACGCCCATGTTATACGGGGGTTACCTGTATGTTTACAAACTTTTTTAATAAGTGACAGTTCACTATATTGCATGTAACAAGAGAGTTATCATAAACAAAAAATTATTTGGAAAATATTTTAAAATGCTCTAAGTCTTTAAATATTTTCTCAGATAACTTTTGACTTAGGTGCACTTAACTTAGAAGCAAGTGTCAAAGAATTTTTAAGATGTTTATCTCAAAAGACTAGATTATCTTAGTTTGGTTCATAAGCTTTGAAAAGAATCAGATTTTGGTTTTATAGAGTTACAAATGTTATCTAAAGAAAATAAGTGTTGAAGATTTAAGCAATAAGAAGTAAAAAAAATAATTATTGAATATTGAAATGGTTGGAAAAATGTCTAAGAACAGAGATGGAATCATGGTCAAAAGCTTGAGAAATATTGATATATAAAATGCTTGTGGATTTTTTTTTATTTTTGAGATTTTTTATCATTACAGAATGAGTTTTAAGGAGATTACATACTGTTGATCAATCTTAAACAACACAATGTTGAAAAGGCTTTAGTCTAGTGATTATGGGAGAATAAGTTTAATCAAATAAACAATGCTCAAAGACTTCTATCATAGTAGACAAAAGGAAGATAGGTCAGGAAAGTTTTTCAATCTTTTTTAGCAATGACAATAATAAAGGAAGATTGTTGCTGATCAGGGATATAGCCAGACTGAATAGTCCCATAAAAAGATGAGATAAAAGCAACAATAGGTAGGAGCAATAGTTAAAATGTTGGAGTAAAAAATAGGAATAAAAGCAAAGCTGTTGGACAAAGAAAATTTCAGAATTCTTTGATAAACTTACTAAAAATAAAAAGTAATACTGACAGAATTTGACATGGAATGGTGCAAGACTTTAAAATTTGATTTAGGGATATAAAGTACCACTTAGTAGACTGGAATGATGTAATAAACACTTCAATTACAGCATTAAATTGTATTTCAGTAAGGTTTAATTCGAAAAAATTCCTTTTCTGCAATGAATGAATGAAAGAAAAAAGGTGATCATTTTGATAGAACTGGCGGTAAGGTAGAGAGATAAAATCTTTAATAAAATGAAGAATTAAAATCTCACAGGCATTCGTGACCCTGAATAAGCTCAATCAATCTCGATTCTGTAAAAGTATCAATCCTCTAACTTTCTGCCATGATGATGAACTATTTTCAATGTTGCCACCATATGACGTGGACAAAGTCATTTGCTGATTGGATGTGCGTTTGCAATTGGCACAAGTAGAACAAACTTTTTGTTTCTAGTCATCGTTGCAGTCATGCTGGATTTTGAAGGTGGTTTACTAGTTAACGAGAACAGCTGTTGCAGTTGTAGTTGCCTGCATGGTTGGAAATCACATGGTGTGACCATGGCTGAAGAAAAAGACTTGCAGGAAGCTTTCCAAAAGTGGCAGATGTGCTGGGAGCAGTGTATCAATGCACAAGGGGAGTATTTTGAAGGCAATGCTAGCCAAATATAAATAAAGTAATTACTTTTAGATTATCATAACACACCTTTTATGTTGTCAAGATAGTTTTATTGAAAACTAACGTTTTTCAGTTTATTCTATAGGCCATCAGGTTTAACGAGAGAATTGGAACATCGGCATTCCAAAAATAGAATACATATATTCAAATTCAAAAAATTGACAACGGAAAAATAAAATAACAGAAAAATAATATATACAAATATAAAATAAAAAACAAAGTAAGATATAGTGATAAAAATAAAAATTCACTAATAATACTTTGATCAAACATTAAAATAAATTATTAAGGTATATTAACAAAACATGTAATTATAAACCAAGGTAAGATTATGAGTTCTTGGCAAACTTTTTGACTATAAATTTCCAAGCTGATGGTAGGCCTTCTGTGTCCCTTGCATTTACGCATGCCTATTCCTGTTTGCTCTTGTAAATTTCAATTTTCTCAGCAGTCCTTGCTAATGTTGGGGAGTGCAAGGGCTGAGGATGGCCTACAGAATAGGTCGAAAACATTAGTTTTTAATAAAACTATCTCGGCAACATAAAAGGTGTGTTATGATGATCTAATTATTTAAATAAATAACTAAATTCTTACTGGAAGTATTATATAAATATAAAACAAACACCTTTCTCTATTCCAGCACACTTTTAATGCGTTGAATAACGTTTTCGATCGTTTTAATCGATCATCCTCAGTTCAAAATTCGAACTCAAACGAAAAAGTATTCGAAAAATACAAAATTTTTTTTTTTTTTTTTTACATCGCTAATTTACGACTTAACGCTAAAGCGCATGCGCGTACTTATAAAACGTATAAGTAATTAAAAATAACAATATTCTATATCAATTAATATTATAAAAACGCCGCCTATGCGGTTGCCATATTTAATCTATGTCATCATAAAAGGACCTCCATGCTGTTTATCAACAGCATGGAGGTCGAAAAATTCGAAAAATACAAAAAAAATTTTTTGTATTTTTCGAATACTTTGTTTGTTTGAGTTTGAATTTTGAACTGAGGATGATCGATTAAAACGATCGAAAACGTTATTCAACGCATTAAAAGTGTGCTGGAATAGAGAAAGGTGTTTGTTTTAGATCTAATTATTTGCTGAGCATGTTCTGTTAATGTAATTACTTTTTTTGTAATGCAGCCAGTCCTGGAATTTTTTGATACCATCACATGTACCAGTATGTGTGTGTAAATGATGCATAATAAAAAGTAGTAGATGTCGACAAATTTAAATTTTTGCCAGTGCTGTGGCACTGTAATCTTTGGCTATGTCTTCGGCTACTCAAATATTTTATGTTTTTGATACTAAATTAACTTCTGAAGTATAATTTTTTATTGTTTTTATATTTTTCAATATATATACTTTGTTCGTACAAAATAAAAAAATAATTTTTAATGATACAATAGTCTTCGTTAAGCTTAACATCGACGAAAATTCAACACGAAGTGACACGCAACGAAGAAAAATTTCAACATGGGATAAATTAATATATTTTTTCGTACATAATTGGTTATCCGAAAAATAAGTTATCCGAACAACCCCAGTCCCCAATTGATTCGGATAAACGACGCTCTACTGTATATTTATTGAGTCATGAATACAATATTGTAACCAAGTTAAACAAGTTATAGAAGACTCAGCTGAAAATGTACATGGCAAACCAAGGTTGAGAACATTCTAAGCACTTGTTTAGAAAGCAATCAAATCCAGCACTGGACTGAGGGATTATGAATTGTGCAGCTCATGAAGAATAGATCATATCATCAAGGCATTAAGTGTACTCCTTATGAAACCATGTTTGGTTTACCCTTAAAAGTTCAGCTGGAGACATTCCTTCCTAATGATACTATAGCAGATTTTTGCATAGAAGAGGAGCTACAAGAAATAATTGAATCATTAAATCAGTCAATTAGAGGGACCCAATGAAAATATATCGGATAAAAGTATTAAAAATGAACAGCCATTACTCAACCAACCTGATGTGGCTATTCTTGATTCACCAACCAAAGTATAGTCTATCAGTCTTTATACAATCAAGAAGAAAAAGAGAGAAGTTGAGGAGTGAGTGAGTGAATGCAAGGCAGGTTTAAAAGCTCAAGAAAAGAAAATATCAGTGCTTAAGTTTGATGTAGCCAAAATGGGAGATACAGTGAAGCTAAGAACACAGATTTGGTTGGGGGCAAGAGGTAATCTGCAGAATGTATTGGCAGTAATATTAACTACTGAAAACGATAAGTACTGTCACTTGGAAACAAAGGAGGTACATCTTTCACAATTTTATACCCAAAACCAGTTTGTGCTTTGTGAAACAATTTCTTATAGTAGAGAATGTACCAACTATTACTGTGTTTTAGGGACTATGCAAGAAAAACATCAATTTCAAGAAGTTGGGTACCAAAGGTGCTCTTTTAAAGGAAAGTGCAATTAATCAAATGCAAATGCAAGCAAAATGAAAAATTATGTAACTCAGAATGTCATGATAGTTTCACATTTGAATAAGCAGTAAGAATTATTAAATTCTATATTTTTTCCAACAAATTTTTGATATTTTTGTACACAATTCTAATATTAAGTTGAGAGATTTTTTCTTAGTTTTCTATATTCATTAAATTATTCTAATGTTAATAAAACAAAAAAAAAAATGCATTTTTGATTCATTTTACTAAATTTGTTTAAATCCATAAGTTACTTTATTAAAACAACAAAAGGTGGGAAATATCATGATACTGTTTTTTGAAATTTATGAACTACGTTTTGGAAATTATGTGAAAATCTCTTTGAAAGTAATATATTCAAATTTGCCAAAATTTACAAAAAATTTTTTTTAAATTTCACGTGAAGTTAATAGAAGAAAACACCGATTCTTCATCATCCTTTTCACACCTCAGGAACAAAGTCATACAGCAGAGTCAACCTTTTAGGCTTCTATTTGTCTCAATATTGTCGAATAAAAGGTTAACACTGCTTGTTCTTGAGGTATGAAAGGATGTAGTATGAAGAAAGGTAAAGTCCTGTGTTTTCTTCTGTTAAGTTAATATGAAAATTTTGTAAAAATTTCTTGTAAATTTTAAATCATATTTAGTGTTTAATCTGTAGATAAACTTTAAAAAAAACTGTTTTGTTTAGAAAATTAAGAAAAATGCCTCTCATATTTTAAAGCATTTAATTAAAATGCAAATAAAAAGTTTATGTAATTTAGTAAATTTTTAAATGTATGCATTTAGCAGTAAATTTTTAATATTTATTTCTTTATAGTTACGAACCTGAGTTGTTTCCTGGACTTATTTATCGTATGGTGAAACCTAGAATTGTTCTTTTAATTTTTGTTTCAGGAAAAGTAGTTTTAACAGGTAGGTTTAAATGTAAATAATAAGACTTGAAAAATATTGGAGTTAAAAATTATCATCAGTTCCTCTTTCCAAATTAAATTTGATGATAACTTAGTGAGATGAATTTCTAAGTTTGAATATTAAATTAAGTTATATTTCAAGCATTATTATAGAATCTTAGATTGTCATCTCTCAGTATAAGAGTTCAAACTATAATTTTATTTTGTAGTAATTTGTTACAAAGTAATAATCAAAGTTAGTTTTAATATATATAACTATGAACAATTTTTATTGTTAAATGGAATCTTTACTGTTTTACCTAATTAGTTCTGCAAATTTTAGTGTTTTCAATGAGCTTTTAGTAATACAATTTATTCCATTTTATTAAAGAGTGATTTGAAAACCAGTAATAGTTTTCAAAGTTTAATAAACTGTACGTAAATTTATATATTTATTATATAATTTATAGGGTTTTTTTAAAATAAATATACATTTAAATACTTTTGACAATGTATTATTGTCTTTGTCAAACAAGAAACTTTTTCATTATACAAAAATTTCCTGCCTGACAAAGACAATAATACATTGTCAAAAGTACTTGCATGTATATTTTATTTTTAAAGAAGCTATTAACACTTAAAGACAGCCTATTTAATGTGTAATTTTTGATGTTTTGGCATGGAGTATAAGTAAAATCTTTGATTTATACTTATTTAAATAAACTGTATTTAATAAACTGCTCATTGAAAACATTAAAATTTGTAGAACTAGTTAGGAAAAATTTGCGTATCTTGTAATTGAAGAAATAATGTATTTATAAAGGTTTCTCATTGTTCTGTTAATGCTTTTCCCTATGTTTGTCAACATTCATTATAAATAAATAAAAGATTTAATTAGTATAGCTGTGTTTTTATTTATTAAGTTTATATACTTGAGAAGTAAAATATTTCTAAAAAATCTTTATTTTTGATGATTGCTTTTAATGATTCAGGAAAAAGTTTAAGATGAAGCTAAAACATGAAACTCATTTCACAATGTTTTAAAGCTATATTATGTATCTAAAAAATTTATTTTGGAGATTCAAGATAAATTTTTAACACTAGTTTTATGAAAAGAAACCAATCCATTCTTAACTTTTATAATTACTTTCTATATGCATCTCTTTGGCAAAAAAGCTAATCAGTATTCTGTTCAAACTAAAAAATTTTCTATTTGTGATTTTATGGCCTCAACATTGTCATATTATGTATTTAAACAATATATCTGCCTTTGAGTTTAATACTGAAAGATCTAGAATTATCTAAGATGTAAACGTTGCATATGAATTATTTTCTCCCCAAACATACCTGATGATGATTAAACAGTCTCCACTAATATTAAAAAGAGAGTATTAAAACTTAATTTTTAATACTTTTTTCATTTGTAAATTAAAATAGAAAATAGACCTGTTTGTATTAAATTTAAAACATTTAATTTTTTTTCATAACTAATATAATATATTGAATGTTTTTACTTCTATATTTGTAATATTCTATATAAATAGTTTTAGTAAATAATTTGTACATTGTTTTTCTTTTCCCATTTAGGAGCTAAAGTACGTTCCGAAATTTATGAAGCTTTTGATAATATTTATCCAATTCTTAAAGGATTCAAGAAACAATAATTGTTCACAATTGTTTTTAATTTTCAAATATTTTAGGCTTGTAAATATTTAATGACTTACATAAATCTCATCTGTATCAGAATGTAAGATAATTGTTCATTTGATACACACATTAACATTATTTCTCTAATTTTTTGAAATGAAAAACATCAATTCATAATATCAAATTTTTATTTACTGATTGAATGAAGGTTGTCACTCTTATCATGAATTTGTTTTCAGTTAAATGTTTTAAATGTATGTGTTTTATTTATAAAGTAAATTGGAGAAATAAAAGTCTTTATTTACACATATATAAATTTGAAAATTTATGTATATGTAAATAACTTTATAAATACTAGTCTTATATTTGTTGTTGTTTATGTGTATAAAACTTATACATTACCTGTTGTGATGTAACTCTTGGAGATTTTCCATCATTTGTTTCAATATTGATAGAGGAAGCACTGCAAAACTTGAATAAAGAACTACAGTTTATTATTAACTAATCTTTTAATTTAACTAATTTTTAATTTTTATGGCTTTTATAAAGTTATTTATTAACAAGTTTTATAAAATTAACTGAAACATGCATCCATAATAAAGTGATTTTTCTGATCATTTAAAAACATATATATGCGTACATGTGATTCATAAAGTAACTCTAATAAGTGAATTGATGATGGAATTCAGTATTGGATAGTATTGATTTTAATTCTGCTTGGTGTCTGCTTGTTAATAAGAATGCAATAGCAAGCCTAAATATCAAATAACTATATTTAAATTTTATATTTTCAAATTCTTTTTTCCTCTATTAAAATGGATTTAATTAAAATTTATGTTCAAATATCCTATTACAGAACGCACATTTACTAACAGAGAATTTTTTTTTTAATCTTTGGGATAAAATCCAAGATCTTAATGAGAAATATGAAAATCTATCACCGACAATCTGACACAAATAGTGTTTGTAAACATTAATACTTTCTAGAAAATTCAGAAAGAAATGAATGACATAAACTTAATTATATATTAGTAGCAGATATCAGAGCTGATAGAATTCCAAAATAGCTTCTTTACTGAATGTAGTATGAAATGTTATAGCAGGGGTGGGCAAGCAAGAGTTCATTGGGAGCTGAAATGTAAGTTTTGCAAATTGCATGGGAGCCACAGTTCTGTACTTTTTTATTCTGTACTGCAATTTTATTATATAATATAAAACAAATATTAAATTTTTTTAATTAACATATTTTCACAAAATTGTGGAAATAAAATTGTAAAAATAATAATAAAAAGCAGAAATTAACACTTTCAGCAAGAGCCGCATGTAACTCAAAAAAAGCCGCATTTGCCCATGTCTGCATTATAGCAAACTCTTTGTGCTTTGAAACAAGTTTTTAAATTTCAGGATAAGCTTTGATTTAGCAAAAGTAAACTGTTTTAGCATAATCATGTTTTCATATTATGAAACCATTATATTTACTTGAAAGGAACTGGCTTAAGTTAAAGGAAAGAGTTAAAGAACTGGTTTGACTTGAGCTGAATTTCTTAGATCATCAAGACAATCAAGAAAACTGAATCAGGGTGAAGTCCTATCAACTGCGTCAAAGAAAGAGAATTTAACACACTATACACCAAAATATTAGTTCATATAATGGAAAAAAAACAATTGTCTTTCAGCATTACAATGACTTTGATTAAACAAAATTTACACTAGTACTTTCGACAATGTATTACAGTAGTTGAACAGTATCTTTATGAAAGTGATTTAAGGTTATTAGTTGCAGACAAGCACAAGCAATTTGTACTGCACAAGAACTCTGATTTCTTTTCAAAGAATAAAGTATTTTCTAGATTAGTCTGGATCAGTTCCCAAATAGTATTGAACAAAACAAGACTCATCAAGCAACCGAGATTGAAGTCTATATTAATGGGAACTGTGGAGCCACCTAAAAATAGTGTGCACACTAGACTCATTTTTGAGACCAAGACACAGCAAGACTGGCTGTTAAGAATGCTTGTAAACAAAAAAAAAACACATTCTATCTAAAAAAAAACAGCTTGCTGGTTCATTGTCCACCTTAATCTTTGATTCAAACTCAGTGGTTACTTCTTTCCACACAATCATGCATAAGTAAGGGAACTGTGCATTTACTTCCTACCTTGTACAGCTTCTACAAAATTGATACTGTTACTCTATACCTTTTGGTGCCAGCATTTATGCTACCTTGTTAACTAATACCATGTTTGATAATAACTTTTTGGTACAACAGGTCTTAGCTATTCAGGAAGTACTTCACCTAGTATCCCATAACAGTTGTTTTCAGTTTAAAGATAGCAGTAATAAAATGAAAGTATTGTAAAATTCAAAGTCAAAACAAAAAGTTTGAAGTTTGATTTCTTAGAATTTAGCATTTTTTTAATTTGTTTTATTTAATGTTTACTATTTAAAGTTATATAAGGTAATTAAATTTATTGAGTGAAATTTTTGAGATCTGATTACTATTTGAATTCAAGAAAAGTGATATTTATCCATCTCTAATGGGGACCCATTTACCATGCCTGAAAGATCCAAGATCTACCATATTCCTTAAGATTTGTGTATTTCTATGTTTTCATACATAGGGGCAATCTTAGAATGCTTACTAATAGAATATCAGAGCACCAAGATGACATCCAACATGCCAGATGTACTACAGAATTAGCCAAAAATGCTGTATCATAGCTGAGACCTTGTGTCAGAGGCTGTGTTATTCCATCCTGTACCAGTCAAAACATATTTATTTGGGAAATCTTAATTGTAACCAATGACACACATAATCAACCCATATTTGAGCTATGTAACTATGGATATTACTTTTTATAGTAGTTAAAAGCAATTATAACAGTTAGGGTCACTCCACCCTCACATCTTTCAATAGTCATGTAATAGTTACACTTTAATTGCATACCAGTTTTTATGTGTGATTATTAATTTGTATTTATGTTTATCATTTGTTTCATACACTAAATTAAAATGTTTTAAAAAACTTCAAAGTTGTTCTACTTTTAGAGTAGAATTCTATAAAAGTTTAAGCTTTGTAAATTGGCCTTGCAGTTTCTAGAATTTTCTGAACAAATTTGAATCTATTTGTGTTCTATGCTTGAACACCTTGTCTGAGGATGACAGTAATATATTGTTGAAAGTACTAGTGTAAATTTTGTTTAGTAAAGTCATTCTAATACCAAAAGACAGTCACTTTCTTTTCATTATACGAGGGTTGTTCAAAAAGTATCGGACCTTTGGTCGGCAAAAATACATTTATTGATTTTGAGGTACAAAACCCTAATTTCCTTCAAAGTAGTCTCCTTGGTAATGTATACACTTCTCCCAGCATTCCTGCCATTGCTGGAAACACTGCTGGAACGCATCTTTTGGAATGGCCATCAGCCGGTCCGTTGCATTCCGCACGATGTCTTCTCTCGACTAAAATCGGGTTCCTTTTAGCGGCATTTTCAGCTTGGGAAATAGCCAAAAGTCACACGGAGTCATATGGGGAGAGTACAGAGCGTGACGCACCACAGGAGTGTTGTGTTTGGCAACGAAAGCCTGAATCAGACGCGCAGAATGGGTGGATGCATTATCACGATGGAGCTGCCAAGTTTTGATCAACCACAGATCTGGTCATTTGCGTCGCACAGCATCGGAAAGACGATGGACCTCCTGGTAGTACTCCTTTGTGATGGTTTGGCCTTGTGGTGCATACTCATGATACACCACCCCACTAGAGTCGAAAAAACTGTCAACATGACCTTGATATTGCTGCGGACCTGCCGCGCTTTTTTTTGGCCTTGAGGATCGTCCCTTGAAAGCCTGCTGAATCTTGCGAATGGTTTACACTTGGGTATCGCCAAGGTTTTTGGCAAAATTTGATGTAATATCGCTGCTCACGTTCAGTCATTTTCCAACTTAGTGGAATCCGATGAGAGCTCAATACACGTTCTCACTCATAGGCTGACTGCCAGCGACTGATGCTTCCTGCAGGTGGGAAAAAATTCAGGGCTGTGCATGACTGTCCCCTNAAATAAAGTTCTGCTATTAATTTTAAAAGTATTTCTCTTGTCATTTTTTGATCAAACCCGATGTAAACAGGTTGCTTCCAATTTGAAAAAAGAAGGTTATTATTGCAACCATACACAGCACACCTAGTACTCAGTATTTTGTTCTTCACCTAACATAAAAATATAGCTTTAAATATTTAATGACTTATATTTAAATCATCTTACCTTATAAAAAATTTAGTCAAATAAAACAATTACAGAAATATTAAAATAAATCACTTCGTTGATCACAAAATTGGACGAATATTAAAAGCGAAAACTAAACACGTGCACACCCTGCTCTGTGTAAACAGAGAGGTCAGGACTCGTGCTGACGTCACTAACTTGGCATTCCTGGCTAACATTGTAGAATAGGGATCTGGCTATCCTTGTAGTATACAGTCTTTGGACCACGTGTATCCACAGAAGGCGAGAAGAGAAAATTTACATACTTAAGTATTAATAGTTAACGAAAATAAAAATTTTCGTGAACTATTATTACTTAAGTATGTAAAAATTTATTGCATTTCCTGTTGTACAAGGGTTTTACCTAATTCTCGAACCGTGTTAGAGTGAATCCGTGCTATAGAAGTGCCGTGTTATACAGGGGATGGTACCAATTCTCGAACCGTGTTAGAGTGAATCCGTGCTATAGAAGTGCCGTGTTATACGGGGGTTACCTGTACCACCAACAAAACAGATATCGTCTCACCAGAATATTTCCTCACTATCAGCAAAATCGACACGAAAGAAAAAATGAAACGAATATGGATCTCCTACCATAAAAAGGAAGCTTGCTTATCCGTGGCTAGAAAATACAGTAGAGCATCGATTATCCGACCCCCGATTAACCGTCACATCGGTTAACCGACCGTTCTAGTCGGCAAATTTCAAATGTCCGCTAGTGATGTGGCGCTACAATGTTTGGCTATGTCTTGGCTACTTTAATATTATTTTTTGTTAAATATTTGCGTGTTTTAGCTGGCAACATGGCTCGACCATTGAAGGAAGGCCAGCATTTAAACGAGACTTAATTTTATAATTATTAGTGGTTGTTTGTTTTGTGAGCAATAAAATAATTTTTAACGATACAATAGCAACGATTATTATTTTAAAAAAAATTGTTAGGCTTAACATCGATGAAAATTCAACGCGAAGTTGGTTAATAGTGATATACTAATATACTATTTACATGGGATATACTAATATACTATACTAATAATGTATTTTTTTCATTCTTTTCGGTTATCCGATTTTTTCAGTTATCCGACCAACCCGAGTTCGGAGTTATCCGNACTTCTCCCAGCATTCCTGCCATTGCTGGAAACACTGCTGGAACGCATCTTTTGGAATGGCCATCAGCCGGTCCGTTGCATTCCGCACGATGTCTTCTCTCGACTAAAATCGGGTTCCTTTTAGCGGCATTTTCAGCTTGGGAAATAGCCAAAAGTCACACGGAGTCATATGGGGAGAGTACAGAGCGTGACGCACCACAGGAGTGTTGTGTTTGGCAACGAAAGCCTGAATCAGACGCGCAGAATGGGTGGATGCATTATCACGATGGAGCTGCCAAGTTTTGATCAACCACAGATCTGGTCATTTGCGTCGCACAGCATCGGAAAGACGATGGACCTCCTGGTAGTACTCCTTTGTGATGGTTTGGCCTTGTGGTGCATACTCATGATACACCACCCCACTAGAGTCGAAAAAACTGTCAACATGACCTTGATATTGCTGCGGACCTGCCGCGCTTTTTTTTGGCCTTGAGGATCGTCCCTTGAAAGCCTGCTGAATCTTGCGAATGGTTTACACTTGGGTATCGCCAAGGTTTTTGGCAAAATTTGATGTAATATCGCTGCTCACGTTCAGTCATTTTCCAACTTAGTGGAATCCGATGAGAGCTCAATACACGTTCTCACTCATAGGCTGACTGCCAGCGACTGATGCTTCCTGCAGGTGGGAAAAAATTCAGGGCTGTGCATGACTGTCCCCTCCACAACTCCACCGAAAGAGGCCCCCACGCATCATTGGTTTACGCGGAAAAAATAAAAGTCCGATACTTTTTGGAAGGTGGCATTTTAGTTATCATTAATTGGTTGAAAGTGCTACAAAAGATCAATTGTCATCAAGAAAAAGTGAACTATGTTAATTTCATTAGATAAGTTGTGGCCAACGTTTTTGCATCGAAAACTTTTTGAAGTTAATTGCTATTGTTAAACTTTTCAGTAATACAGTAAACCTTTGCTTTTGTGTTGGTTGATGAACATACAATCATATCACTCCACAAAGGACTTTACATAATAAAATAAAATTTGTCTTACAATAAATATTTACTTTAGAATGGATTTACAATTGCCATCAACTGGTCCATTTCAGTGAGCCAGATTAGTAGATAAGTCAATAAATGATGCAAATGCAAGTGTTTTAGTAACTCGTATTGGTTAGAAAAAAATGTAACTGGAAAAATTGATTCAGGCAGTTTTTCTACCACCAAAAGTTTTTATCCTATTTAACTTAATAAAGAATAAAACAATTAGTATTTATGTAGTAATTATAAAAATTTATTTTTGAGAATATAGTTCTAACTTTTGAGGTCCTGGAATGAAATATTAAAAGAAAAATATATTATTGGATTTGCACACTATTTTCACAAGTCTCCAGAACAGAAAGTAGAAGTCCATTATAATCGGCTTTAAACAATTTTGACAGATTAGTGTAAATCAGGAAGTAGATTTGGACTAATAAGTAAATCAAGGATATTATTTTTTAAAAGTTTAGGAGAATTTATTCTCTATTATTCATAGGAAGTCCATCAATAAAGTCTTATTGTTATTAAACTTATATACTTAATATAGTTGACAGGTATAAACAAGTCCAAGATGGTAATGCTTATACCTATTATAACTTTTACACTTAAAATTTTATTAAAATATTTTAATAGGAACAATTCTTAAATCAGATTAACAAAATACATTGGAAAATGATTTCTTATAATTTCATTTTTTCCAAAAACAATTTGAGGTTGTGTATTTTATTATAGAATGTGAAAAACTATATTCCAAATGATTAATTTAATCCCGATTTATTTGCAATTTAATAAACTGTTTGGATATGAGAAGCTACATTCTGAATTGTATATTATTATAGCATACGTGGTTTATATAGATTTCATTCAGTTACTATTTTTGAGATTTTGACAAATTCTCAATTGTAATAATCTGTCTTAACATAACTGGATTCTAATATTTTACATAAAGATTTATCTAACTCTTAAACAAATTAAATAATTCAACTGTGTTACAGATTTTTAGTTATAGCTAAAATACAGTTTTATACTACTATTTTATAGTAGTTTAAATAAAAATTAATATAAAAGTATAAAAATATAATTGAAGTAGTATTTAAATACATATATTACATAATAAAGATTGTATTTTCTAAATTATATAATTCCAAAATGAACAAACTTTACTCTAGCATTTTCTATTTCTTCATCCTCATTAGATGATTCTTGTTCTAAAACTACAAAATTGTCCAGTGATTTAGCAGGAACAGTGTCGTCAACAAACTGTTCATTTGGATCAGAAAAATCTATTTGGTCTGTAATAGGTGCACTTAATGGATTTAATTGAGGCTGATTTACCAAATCTGTATTAATAGTTGTTGGTAGTGGAATGCTATTATGAATGTTATGAGGAATTGGAGAAAGAAATGGTGACTGTGTTACGGAAATTTGAGAATCGGGCCAGTGAATGGATCCATTAATTCCCATACTTCTTGAATTACAAGGATTATCCTGAAAGTGTGATAAATTAGATGAATTTATTGAAGAAATTGGTTTATCTATAATCTGAGATGCAGTCATTTGTTCGTATATTTTCAGGTCTAATGATTCGCTTGTTAATGAAGTTTTCGCATGCCGATCAGGTTTCAAACCAAAGTGTTCATCGATAGAAGAATCTTCTGAAAATTCAGTAGAGTATTCGTATTCTTCCGATTCTTCAGTAATACTTTCTGCTTCTATAGAATGACCGTCTAACTGATCTGCGTGTTGTAATGCAACATCTGCCAAAATTCTTTCTCCTTTATCACGAGCTACATAATGCAAATCCATAAATAAATCCTTATTTCCTAAGTCCACGGCTAATAAAAATGCTTTTTCAAACTTTTGATATCTCAGAAGATGATGGAAGAAACGTCTTGCTAATGAGCTAACTCTGTCTCTGTACTCCATTATTATAACGTCGGACAAAGGCTTCAGTGGCTTATAAAAGCTTCCAAGTGCACTTTCTAATTGAGATTCCCTATCTCTGTTCAATGGTTTCCGGAGAAGATACTGAATGATTTTATTCATACATTGATAACTCGTTTCGCTCTGGCTGTTCCAATCTATTTCAAGTAAAAGACAAACCGATTCATTAACCTGGTCATATTTTAAATATTGATTGATTAATTCTCTCTGAGTTAACGAACCTCTGCTGATCGTTCCAAGAGAAAACGTCAAGAGAGCCAAAGGTCCGCGATTAAAAAGAAGACACATCGTGCAATGTGTTTTTAAGTAAGTTCTATTCTTATTTAACAAAGTTTCTGGATGTTCCCAAAAAAGTTTCGTCAGAGTAGGTTGATATCTAAAGTAATCAGGTATTTCCAAAATATTCGAAGCGGCAAAATCGTCTGAAAGAAGCTGCAGTTTAATCGAAGAAAGAGCACAGTCGTAGCACCGTAGCTGGCCTTTTTCGCTGCTCACTATTATTATTGTATCTAATGGATGCCATGCAATAAACGAACAAACAAATGAAGAAATGACCGAGCGACAATTCTGTCTGATAAAATCATACAAAATCAGTGACCTGTCGTCAAAAGAAATTAAAACTTTTGTCTCTTCCATGTTCCACCGAGATGCAACTATACGAGTCTGATTCGGAATCGTAGTAACATTTAAACAGTGAAACTTATTTTGAGAAATTTCATATATGTTAAGATTGACGGCCGCATTTCTACCACTACTACTCTCGATGGTAAAGATTCGATTAGATTCATAACGACTAAATTTGGCTCGCAGTAGTTCCCCTTCGACTTTTGTAAAACACAACAGTTCCACGTGAGAATTGACTAACGAATAAACCGCCATACTCGCACGATCCTTGTCGGAATTAAGCGGCATCCAGGGCCAAACTTCTTCATTTCCTATACGCCACCACACAAGAACGCATTCGCGTAGAGAATTTACAGACAGTTTTCTCTCCAGACGGCGACCAGTGGGTCCGATTAAATCGACGACGGTCAATTTGGGTTCTAACGAGGCCATTCTTTCACCTCTCTTATACCTATCTATGGACTGCGAGTGTTTACCAAAATGAATACAAGTCAGCTTCGGTTCGACGTAAGAAAATAGAATAAATTTGTCTTCGACGATAACATCCACAACGTGATCGGATACTAATTTTCCCACGAGATAATTATCTAATATGATATGCTCCAAACAAGTATTTTCTGAAGAAATGGAGAGCGTGACAAGTACTCCATTATTAAATACAATTTGAACGATGTCATTTTTTTCCCATCTTGCAATTACACACCGCTGATTACTTTGTAATTCTTCAAATTCTTTCAAACAGTCTCGTAATTTCTCGGGTCTTTTATTCCTTGGAACCCAAACGACGTCTCTTCCTTCGGAAAATTCCTGCTTATCTAAAAAATACGTTTGTTCTACGTTTTCACCTTTATCGTAAGTTTTGTAGCAGCCTATGTCGGAATCACTAATCAAAAGTTCATTTTTAAGTGTCCAAAACTGCAATTTTCCCAACAAAAATGCCATGTTTATAATTCCGTACAAAAATAAACATTGACGCTCATACTTGTCAATTTAACCGCTAGAGGCGCCAATTTCACAAAATTTTAAAATAATGCAATTGTTTAAAATGATTAACAAACTGTTGTTTTTATTAGATAGCATTTTCGTTTAAAAATGATTATTAATATTCTGTTTAATATATGAATTTTTAAAAACTTTGTTCTGTGGACAACTAAGAGGATTTTTTTTCATACCAATCGTGGGTTCCTGTGTCCATAGCGGGGACAACCGAGTGATGAAAGACGGGGCCCGACACCGAGGTGCACCGCCCGTAAAAAAATTTATGGGAAGTTGTAAGAGCGATGGACTGATGCCTTACGGATGGCCCTTGCCATCCGATCGTCTGCAACTTTTGTCCAAATGATGTCTACGATGTTATATTCATAATTCTAACCGATTTTGAGATTAGTGTCCGCAGAGAAGACTCGGGTAAAGAAACTCCAAAGTGAATGGGATGAAAGGATGACCAAACCGTCGCCTCATAAATTTAAGCCGCCTTTTTTTGTGTTGTGTACACTGTATTATGAATGAATAAAATACACTAAACAAAAATTATACCAAAAAAAAAAAAAGTTACTAGACAGGTTGCGGCCGAAGTTTTCATCTCTAAAATGTGAACGTCGAACATCGAGCGCCGCTTACAAGATAGCAGCGCTTCGATGTTCAAGTTGTAAAAATGAAAACTTCGGCCGCAACCTCTCTATTAACTCGGATAAAATAGACGACTGGATAGTCGCGAGGTTAAGATGACAGCCTACAGCTTTGGTGGACCCGGGATCGAAAATCCCAGGAATTTTTGGAGTGTTCCGTCCGCACAGATTAGAGAGAGAGATGGTCAACTTCGGGAAAATCATGTGACTAAAGACGTACAGCATCCCAACGGCCGAAGCATGGTACTAAACTGGTCAGGTGATTAACATTTTTCGCTTCCGATTTCAGTTTACCGTTGTTAGATTTCCTTTCTTTCTAGCGCCGTGGTTTGTTGTTAAATTTAAAAATGAAAAATAGAATTAAATGAATAATTTGAGGAAGCAATAAATTTCCATTGTTCACTTTACCCGAAAATTCAGAAAAGTAAGTAGTAATATTTTTATATGCTAATTAAATTTGTTTGTTTTTCTGACTTGCGGATACCATGTTTTTCTAAAAGATATGCAGGTATCTTTCGTACAATACGATACTTATACAGCACGGTTTTGCTCTAATGCGGTTTTAGAAATCACCCATACAAAATTTCGCAATTTTAAGTGCGTTATTTAATTTAATATTTTTCTTCTTCTTATTATTATTAAAGTAAGCATTTATGGGATGCTACATGTCTTTAGTGACGTGATTTTCTCGAAGTTGACCATCTCTCTCTCAAATTTGCCCACGAATTTTCAAATATTGAAATTTTCAATTTGTTTTGTGTTTTTCGTCAGGTTTACTTTAATGAAAACCCATAAGACAATTTTTTTCTTCCTTGTCCTAACTTTCCTATCGACCAGATGTCATTATCGTTGCTTTCAGATTTTAGTTTTTATGACTGTCACTGTGGTTGTTTTTATAGATTAATTAATTTAAACATTTTTAGGTAAGTGTTATTAAACTTTTTTTAACTGTAGGTAAGGAATCATAAAAAATGATGAACAAAATAAAACGGTATTTCGGTACTCAAACTGTTCCCAAGTCGAACAATTCGTTATTAGAACAAAAATTCTGGAAAAAATCGCTCTGTAGTCGACCGAACAAACGCGACCCGCTAAAACAAATTTTCGATAAATAACATATTTTTATTTTGTCATTCATAGAAAATTATCTTAAAAATAAAAACAATGAAGACGTTGCTGATATTCTTGATCAAAATTAACAAAAAAAGAAAAAAAGCTTAGGAGACGACATACTTTGAAAAAAGAAAACTCCCTCGCTTTAAACTAAAATTAATATTAACATTACTTTTAATTGTAATTGTTAGTTAATTATTGATTGGAAATAAATTATCGTTTGCTTTAATAAACACATTTCTCTTAGTGACCGAAAAGAATAATATACTTTTGCTAACTTCTGGAACGTAATCCTATGTTTTGCATTAGTCCTTTGTTTCGTATAGCACAGATTCGCACAAACGGCACTTTTTCAGACCGTATCTACCGTGTTATACGAGGGATACCTGTATACATTAAAAAAAAATAAATAAATAACAAGATTTAGTAATTTATTTATTTTATTTATTAGCTAAAACAGACCTAAGTACTTTCTTAGAAGTGTTCCTTTGTCTATCTGGAATCTTTCCATTAAATTAGACATTTGATTAAATTCAAATACATAATTTTAAGTAAAATAAATTACAAGAATATTTGAGTTAAACTCATTCTTTATGATAAAATGAAAAAACAAAATTCGTTGAAGATAAAAACTTATTTAATGAAGATAATAATATTTTTTAATGTGTCTGGTAAAAGATGTAATCAAACTTAAAGTCGATAAATTAATCTAAGAAAAAAGAGTTAAATTTTTTAAAATTATAAATAAATATATAAGAAAAAGAGCCTTTAAATTAAGCCTATTATGGTTTCGGCCAGGTATACAATAGGGCGGCCGACTGTCGAAGAAGGGACCCGAGACATCCAGACCGACCTACCCCGAAGAATTCCTGTTTTTCGACCCGGCCCGATCCTACACTGGGTCTCCCAGAGAGATGGGATGCAGTTCCTCCCTAGTAATTCTAATTTAGACATTTTTAATACTGTACAATGCAATATTGCGTTTTTAAGATAACAGTTAAGGAAAGTTAGGAATTATGAAGTAACACGAATTTTTCATTAGCCCCAAAGTTATTGTTAAGTAATAATGTACCGTACGATGGTCGGATAGCCAAGCTGTCAGGGTGGCAGCCTACTGCCCTGAAGCATTTGGGTTCATATCTGATCGGGTCGAAAAATCCCAAGCAAATTTTTCGGGGGGTGGTCCGTCCGGATATGTCGAGCCCCATACCGCACCGACTGCCTCCATTGTGGATCTGGCCGAACCCATAATGGGCTTGCTAAAAGAGGCACTCTTAGTGCCCACAGGGCGGAAAGAGTTTTTTAAAAAATGTACCGTACTCATTATAACGTCATTTCAGATATATATTAATAAAATACATACTATTCAAAGTAACGAGTAAATATATTTTTTATTTTAACATAACTAAATAATCGAGTTAAAACTCCGATAATTTAATGATTAATATTAAGTAATTTGCTACTAGAAGGTTAGAGGCGGGACTCGAACCCACAACGTCCGCTTGCCAGTTGCGCCACCCGAATCCCGAGCGAGACTTCGCTTCCAGATGTATTTAAATTTAACTATAACCTTACGTGGTTAATAATGACGGCGCCGGCTGGGGACGACTACGCCCACGGCCTAAGTACTGGCCGAGTGCCGTTGTGGAGTCGTACTTAGACAATGGGCGTAGAGTCGTCTTCAGAGGAAAGTGGGCAGAGGTATTGGTTATGTCGATGTAGGCTGCAGTGACCGACTCGGTATTTTTGGAGCCGTCTGTAGAATTAGTAGGACTACTTCGTAGTTCTGTTGGAAGATCCATTCGTAGAAATTTGTTTGAAAGATTTGCTTGCCAAATTGCGTTGTTGGAACGATAGTCCCTGCATAATGATGAGAGGTTTCTTGTTATCTTCGGAACGGATGTTATACCGAATGCATTTGCCAGCATCTTCACTGACGAGGATTACGCCATCCTTCGAGCAATCTTCCATCCATGAAATCCCGAAAAGCATGAATTCCTTGAAAAAATTCACTCATTCCATCATTACCAATATTCTTGTAGCTATCCCCACGAAACATGACTACTCTCCCGGCATAAAATTCTATAGTGTCAGGCACTCGTTTTATATTGTAAATTTTTTTTCTTTATTTTTGATGTACTGTATGTTATTATTTGTGTCGGGTTTACTACGGGACATTCCAATTTTCAACGCTGACTCAGCGCTGATCTCAACATTCGTCAAAATTCGTTCCTTTTTTCAACGTTGAGGTAGCGCTGTTGTCAGCACTGACTCAACACACTCAGCACTCAACAGATATGTTGACTGCTACTTTCCAATAAATTGTGGGTAATTGGTAAGACATTTGAATGGAATCCATCTTGCTGAGAATGGAATTATGGGAACTAAGCACTTCGTACTCGAGTTGGAATGTCGTTGATGACGTCAATTTGTTGACTTCAACACTCAACACTCGCGTTGAAAATTGGAATGTCCCGTATTTTTGTAACGCGTTGTTGTCAATTGCCCTTCCTGTCGCGCGCCACCTATTGGCGGTGGTCGGTGAACTGCTGATTGGTTGTTGAGGTGGCCGCGTCATAGGGGGCGGGAGAATCGAACATAGGAGGATATAAAAAGCGTGATCCCACAACATTTTTACCTTTTTTTTTTTTTCCTTGGGACCTTCGTGAACAGTTTTTCACGAGAGAAAACGGAAGAAGACAAAGGACATAAAGAAGGAAGGTAAGGGGTCACCACGTGCTAACGATAGACTGTCGAAATTAATTAATCGTATTGGAAGAAGAAAGAAAATCGAATTCCATCGGAGCATTGAAGATACAAGGTATGTGAATTCGAAGTGTAGACGAAGGAACGTCGCTTGTTAGAACCGTCTAATAGATTGTAAAATTTTTTATTATCTGTACTTGTGAACAACGGGGCCACGACCACATGTACAGTACGTGAACATAATCTAACATAAAATCGAGTGTTTTTTATTGAGGTGTGTTGTGAGGTCCTCATTTGCTTTCTCTTACCCTACTTTAAGACCTGGTGTATTTCGGTGCCCGTTAAGGTCTACAATTCGTATGACTCCCAGGCGTGTAGGTATCACCATCGATGAAAATGCAAATAAGCAACCCAATTACAGTTAACCCCCGTATAACACGGTAGTTACGTTCCAAAAAATTGCCATGTTATGCGAATCCGTGTTATACGAAACAAAGAATCAATACGAAAAGGAGGGTTAGGTCCCAAAAATTAAAA